GTTCAAATGCATGTTGCCGACTGACTCCTAAAGGTGGTACAGAAGAGTGAAATAGAGACGGAGTGCCGCCAGTACACATATTATTAAAATTTGGGCTATGTTGGTTGTATTGATGTATATCAACTTGAAATGCTCCCAAAAATGGCTCTACAGCATGTAAAAATAATACAAGCTCTGGCGGACTTGGTTCTATGGTAGGTCTTAAAGGGTTAAACCTTAATACAATTTTAAAAAGTAAGTTATAATAACAAAGAAATCACCCGCTGGTAATGTTATTATAAAGGGGCAGATTAGCTATCTAGGCCAAAACCATAAATGCTTAGTTTATTTTAACATGGATTCTTTGGGATGGACTCACTGTTGGAGTCAGCCTCAAGTGGTGATTGGAGGAACTAAGCTAAGAGCTAAGAATCAGGTTATCATGAGAGCAACAAGGAAAACTTAGGAAGGAAACGAGGAGACACAGATGGAACGTGACGCTCATGCAGATAAATCACCCACGCAGAATATATGTGAACAGGGAAGCTGGGAAACACAGCTGGAGGGGTATGGAAAACACTGTGTGTGTTTGTTATCTTTATGACAACCATACACAGAGCGAGAACAGCTATGCCCAGCAGCTACCAGCCACAATGAAACCAACACATGTTCTTTTCTGTTGTCCTGTCCAGACCTCCAAAAGATCACAATCAATTGGAAGGAAGGTTTTAGGAAACAAACAAACAAACAAACCCTTACATGGTCATACCCACATGCCATCAGATTGTAGTTTTATTCTTGTAGACCTTTAAAACAGTTTTTATCAGATCAGACCTCACTTAACCTCTTTCTTTACAAACCTTTGGAGATGATTCCTTTCCCACTTTAGCTTGTGTTATCAGTGCCCATCGGCTAAGTGGAAAAACGTTAAATAAGCATGTGGTCTGAGCAGATGCAGGGCTCTCTGTAACAGATATTAAAGCATGAGAAGGATGTGATTTAACCACTAAAGTTTTATGTACTCAAGTTAAACCTTACTGCATTGTATTGTTCAAGTGACCAGAGAGCCTAGGGATCCTTCTTACTGGTCTCCTTTCTACTTAAAAACTTTGATTTTTCTCAGTTCAGAACAGAACTCCTAATGATAGATGATGATAGTATGCTAAACGCTACTTTTAACCAAAATTGCAGCATTAGCTCTATACAAAGCCACAACAATTTAACACATCTTAGATTAACACACAAAACAAATATACTTAAGCCCATTTTGTTGTTTAGATACACAAAAAAACAAATAAGAACAACAATCACAGTCACAACTTACATTTATTATGATGTTAGCTAACTAGGCTACCATTTGCTACAAGCTAACTGCTAGTAAACAATAACAAATCCAATAGAAATGGGCATCTTACAAGTATCCCAACTATAATGAAACAGAAAAATAACTGATTATGATTGGAAATGACAGCTTAAATCTTGTGGGCTGTTATCAGACATTACACTTTCCAAACATGGCATACTTTCAGCCATATAGCTTAAAAGGTAAATATTAAGGAGTTCAACTATATTCAACTTAGATTGACAAATAATTTTATGTTACATTACAATTTCCTTTATGATTGCTGGTATAAAATCAGCAGAGTGCTACAACCAATTAAATCTGATACATATTTACACCAACATTAACTCAAAAATATACAGACACCACTTACAGGAAAGTAATTCCTCTCGACAGGCCTCAGACCTGAAACCTGAGGATGTTTTTAAATGTGTTTGTGTAAAAAACTGTTTGAATTATTTTATTGAATTATTTTCTCTTTTTTTGAATTTTTGGTTCCTTATTTTATCATTACTATAAATTTTCCTAAAGAAAAGATTAAATTTGGAGGTTCTTGGTATAATTTTGTGCTCCAGCCTCAAGCACATTATTGTTTTTTTAGATGCCTCTGATTTGACAAAAGAAGAGAAGGTTAACATATTTGAGGCACTGTTTTGGAACATTATTTTATTGTAACATTATATAACTACAAATGTATTTTTTCAGAAAATTTAACGCTTGGGTCTCTGAAGTCCAATGGGTTAGAGTAATATTTGCACCTCTTGAGTGCTTCAGTTGAAAATCATCACCTAGTTTAACACCTGTAAAAGCTTATTTTCTTTTTTCTTTACAGGTTGAAATTGTGGAGAAGTGTTTGAAGATTGAGTTCAGTATTCCTTCTTAGTTTTAATTCAACGTTTTAGCTAATACAGGCTTGTTTGATAACTATTTTTCCTCTTTAGTAACGAAGTAATGATGTTATCTTTGTTTTGGGAATATGAAAACAAAACCTTTTCATTTCAAGTTTCTTCAAAATCTCAGCATATGAATACATGTGCTGGAGGCAGTTGCAGCAGATATGCATTAGGGATCAAACACCGGTTCTTTTCGTGGTGGTGTAAATGGGGTCAAACTGGATTTCAAAGTGGTTTCTGCTTGTCTAGACACAAATGAGGAAACAAGATCTGCACCACAAAGAGTTTCACTTCCTGCTGAGTTTGCCTGTCAGTGCAGCCTGGCAGGAAGCTAATTAGCATTAGCATGTAGGAACACTGTAAAAAGTAGTGGGGGAGGGGCCACGGGTGTTGTCATGCATGTAACAAGTTATGTTATTCACCCCTCCCTTCATTCCACAGGTCTTCATTTTCTGTCTCTGAGGTAAGTCATTGGCAAAAAGAGCAACTCACTAGTCCTTAGTCATTCTTTTGGTTTGTCCACTTCATTTAGATCGGTGACACACATGAAGCCTTGCCTTGGCTGGTGATGCAGAGCCTGAAGACAGTCCTGAGGAGTAGCGAGATGAGGTTGCCGAGAAGTTGAACCGTGACACTGCAGCTAGTTGGGTACCGGGTTCTTGCAGTGTCCGGCAGATGAGTCCGTCCCCACAGGGACAGCGCTGGAACAGCTCCAGACCGTGGTTCCCCTTGCGTCGGTGTCGCGTGCACACCTGTCCTTCACGTAGCACGGGCTTGCAGATGCGAGTCCAAAGGTGACGGGCGCAGCACAGACCGTCCAAGCAGTCGGATGAGCGCAAGCAAGGATTCCCGACCTGACCTGAAACAAACACACAAACCCTTAGAGAAACATGAAGGAGGCAGGGGGAAACATACTGCGGGTTTATAACACTAATCTCACTTCTGCCAGGGGATCCTTTGGCTTCCTGCCTCCCGCCTTTCTTTTTGGTGAGCGTGCTTAGCGCTCCATCAGTGTTTGGAATCCTCTCAGACACAAAGCCGTCCACATCAGGAACACAAATATCTGCCGGAGGAAGAACACAGAGATAATACACTTGATAAAATTTTAATTATGAATAGTTTATTGTCATTAATGTTAAACTGAAGTTTTCTGTAGAGGAGCATCTAAACTGTTGCTGCAGCGGTTGGTGGGGCAACACATTGTGTCCCTGAGGCAGGGCCTCTTCCTTCTGCGGCAGGTCTTGCAGTGGGAGTGGGCAGGACGTCTTGAGGAGGTGTGACAGTAGTTCCCCTCTCTGCACTCCAGGTCACTCATGCACTGGTAGACCTGCAGACAGACACACAAACGTTATTACAGAGTAACAAATGAACCTGGTTTTCGTTTTGTAATTTAAGGTGATCTTTTAGCACTGGTGAAAAAATAGCATGAAATAAAAAACGGAGGGCTTAAACTACTCTGACTTGCAATGACAGTTGCCCTGAGCAACTTTATGTGAGATTTATACTTCTGGACTAAATCTACGCCATAGGTAGGTCTTAACTGCAGACCTCTCTGAAAAAGTAACTACATGTAACATAAACACAGTCTTCAAATATTGTGATTGGCCTGAAATCTGAATATGCATTTCTGGCTAGTTTTCCTCTGATTGTCAATGGATCACCAAGAAAATAAATGTCATCGACTCATTATAGGCTTGCATAGGCGACATCATAGGCTCAACGCAGAATTATCAGCGTTTAATTTTGTAGCACTCTTCTAAAGTACACCTCAACATTACAACTTAAAACTGTACATTGGGGCAAAACAGTCCAGTTGATAAACCAAAGAAACCTTTTATTATCCTTCCCGATGATGTTGAAAGCCAAAGAAATTTTAAAACATCATCATAGTTTTTGTTTTTTTTTATCATGAAAGCTTACAGCATCATAACAGCTGAGAAATGCACCTGAAACAGTATCCTGCTGATAAAAAAGGCCAATGAACTTTTTGAAACAATGTGATGTTCTTGATGATAATGTTTAGAAACATGTAAATATTATAAGTGACTGGTAAACCAGATGGTGCCTGTAATTTGAAAGTGAATACAGACTTGTAATATTCCCACCAATCAAATGTTTGAAACAACAAATAAAGACCAAAACTTCTGCCAAACTGAAGCAATGTAACCAATAATGTTCAGTCAATAAAGCTTTTGAAACATTGCAACAACACTGCAAAAAGTGCTTTGTCAGCAGCACATAGCTTTACAGGGTGTAGGAAAGAGTCAACTAAACTAACGTTTTCGATACAACTAAAGATTAAAGGCCAATAAAATGTTAATGAGCTTTGTAACATTGTAATAGTTTGGTCAATAGAAAATCCCCTGTCCATTTAGTTTAGAAACACTGTAGCTAAAAGTTTAGCTAAAGTTGTTAGCTAACTTTAAATTGTGTGAGAGGCAAATGTTTGATTTGATTGACTTCAAAGCACAGACTTGTTGAGACTTCTGTGAATCCCCTCAGACTGAAACACGCATCGTGGTAACACACTCACCGTCAGGTCCACTCTCGGCTCCCACGCGCTCCTGTTTATCGGCAGCGCGTCACTGTCCCCGAGGATCTTCGTACTGACGGAATTCTGTCCGACGCGCGCCTGCCCGCAGCGAGAACACGCCAAAAGCGCGATCCCGAAACTGACCAGCAGCACCAACCAGCGGCTCATTACTGCAATCAAGATTTCATTAGACGCTGTGAATAAAATCAGCTAATTTCACTTCATGTACTGACATACCATTATCATCATCCTTTCTTAAACATACGGACTTTAATATCTCCACAAGAATAAACAAGAGACAGTAGCGGTCTAAATGTTTTCCATTTAAACCAGCAAAAAAAAAAATCACTCACTTTTCAGCTGTAGACTTTCTAATGGATGGAAGTAAATCGTCACAGTCCCGTGCAGTTTGCTGCTGCAGGTTTAAATTTCCCGTTGTTTCTTTCTTTCTTTCTTTTTTAATTAAACCAACTCCCAGGAGCGATATAAGAGAATAATATAATAAGAATAAGAAGACGAGCCTTCGCTTCAGTCCTGTCCTTTAGTTCAGGACAGGTGAGAGGAACCCGGACCCTGATCCACTTTATACAAATCCGATCCTCCCACATCCTTGGTCACGCGGAGCCCTAACCCGCCCCTGCAACGCTCACATCGATACCCCCACCCTGTCACCTGCATCCATGGCTGCAGGTGACAAGGTGACGGCGGAGGTACTGTTTAGCTGTAAAGCTCCATATGGTGAGTTTGTTGTTTTTGCCATTCAAAAGTCCCATTGAAAAACAAAAGTTTAACTGGGAAACCTGAAACATGGGGTATAAAAAAGTGGAAAAGTACACACACACACACACACACACACATACGAAATGAAATGAAATGCATATTGAAAACAACAAACTATACATTCATATACAAGTACAAGTGAAGGTAAACCCAAATTAATTGTCGCAAATATATATATAATAAAAAATTTAAATAAATACAAAAAAATGCTGTCCTTCTAAAATGTGTTTTCAGCAGATGTTTTAATCAAACTACATATCCATTCAATATGATTGATGAGGCCATGGATTAGGTTATCCTTCTGACTCACTTGTATGTGAAATTCCTTGAAGTGGTAGTGGTGAGGATCTCAGTAATCTCTGAGCTCTCATTTTGATATATCACTGAAATGGCAGGAAAGACTGACCTGCTCGCACTCTTGTGTCTCCACATCAGTGATTCTTTTAATAAAAAGCTCATTAAACCTAAATCTAATGATAAAGTGACCAAAGGGCTTAGCTTCAGGAGTAATTAACAGTGTGTAGGAATAAAAATATTTCAGCCTGAAGTGGAACGGTGAAAACAGCTTGTACATTGGGGCGATCGTGGCTCAAGAGTTGGCAGTTCATCTTTTAATTGGAAGGCTGCCGGTTTGAGCCCCGGCTCGGACAGTCTCAGTCGTTGTGTCCTTGGGCAAGACACTTCGCCTACCGCCTACTGGTGTTGGCCAGAGGGGCTGATGGTGCGATATGGCAGCCTCGCTTCTGTCAGTCTGCCCCAGGGCAGCTGTGGCTACAACTGTAGCCTCCACCAGTGTGTGAATGAATAGTGGTATTTTAAAGTTCTTTGAGGGTCTCGAAAAGCGCTATATAAATGCAATCCATTATTATTATTATCTCCTACGCACACAAACCTTTTACTTATCTCTCCATCTCCATGACCTTTCTCAGACACATTTAACCTTTCCACACCTACAAAAGGAACAACACATGAGTGCGTGTGCTTTTATTGTGTTGATAAGATTGGATGCTGTAATCGTGAGATTAACACACCTACAGGATCAGCATTACACTCACACATCCCCTTACTGAAATGTCAGTTAGTCTACAGTAAACTAACCGAACCACATTAATGAGATGCTGTTAGCACTTATCTCTTAAAGTGAAGCTGTATGCGAGATATCACTAGTTTAACAGACCTCATGGGAAACATTAAAAAAACACATTATACATACGAAGGGACGAGGGAGCTGGAGGTTCACTAACAGCAGGAGGGTCAGGTCTTGCATTTCGGTATCTTACGCTTTCGGCCACCCAACACGTTCCTATGTTACACGTGCGGAAACAGGAATAAACATGAGAACCATTTAGACTGAATCTACACATGTACATTCATTTTTCTTTCTCACCATGAATCGCTTTGGAAAACGCTTTCTAACACGATGTTGTGGTTAAGGTTAGGGATAAGGTTATCGTTAAGGCTAGGTTTGGGGCTGGAATACATGGCTGGAACATGTCTTAGCGTCGGGAGCGTCATACTATTGGATTTCATCCCCAATCTGGAACATATCATAGGGATGCAGAAGGTTACCTTTCGCGTTCCCATGGGCCGCCTCGGGACATGACAAATCGTCGGTATGTTATGCGTCAGGAATGAGAAAACACTTCAGGTTAGTCTAGCCCCTTTTTCCTTCATGGAACAAGGTCTATCTACACCTGCCCACCAGCTCGGTCTGTGTTTTATTTACTACCTGTCTTGATCCCACTTCTGTCACTTTGATGTCTGGAACAAGGCCTTGACTGGATGGAAAGTGTTTCATGGTTGTCCCTGCTTTCTCTTTCCTCATGGGTTCCCAGTGAGGGAGTCTCTAGTGTTTTTGGCTTTGTTAGGGAGTTCCAAAGTCATCCCACCTTCATCTCAGACTATTTTCTTCCATTGTGCTACCTGCTGTGTTGCTGAGGTTTTGGGGGTGGAAGGGTTTGGCTCAGGCACTGCCATGTTCAGTTTGTCCATGGCAGGTTTTGTAGGTCTCCATGTGTTGATGCAGTTTGGTGTGTCGGCAGATGTTTTCCTCATCTGGGCCTGATAATCACATCTGTATCTGGTTAAATGTGCTTATCTATCACACTGCCAATGTACGTGAAGGACTGCTTGTTCTAGAGGTTCACCCTCCAGGTTCTTGGGCTGTTGATGTTAATTCCCAGGAATGTAAGATAATCAGCAAAGTCAAAGTCATCCAAAGTGTGCACTGGATCCCAGTCCTCTTTCTAGTGAAAGTCTTCATGATCCAGGCAATAACCGGCAGGAGTAAAACAGTGAACACCTTCCTGGTGAGTTTATGGTATCACTCACTAGTCTCAAGTTTTCCTGAGTAAAACATGATGTTCATTCAGTCCCAGTAGAGCCAACATAACAGGTTAAACAGGAAATCCATATATCATAAATCCAATACAGTTATAGTTAAAAATACACTTCAAAATCCACAATCTGTGCCCTCCTACACATTTCCAGTGGGCCAGTTTAGAGTCTTGCTGGTCGATCCTAGTCTCTGGGCCTTATGCTCGACTCCACTGCTTCAGAGGAGCAGCCAGATTTGGAAGCATGAGGAAGTGGCATTGGAGTGGCAAACGGTTAAAGTCCAATTAATTGAGTTCTTAATGAAACAGTTTTGTTAGTTTTTGGAGATAATAACTATACACGAAGCACTATTAGGCTACTTCAGCTCAGAAACCAAAAGTAGGTAAATGAATGAGAAAAAACTCAGAGGAGTCGATTGTTATAAAAAAGTAAACGTTTCAGAGAAACAAAAGACATACTAGTTTTTCTTGTGAAGTTGTTGTAGGTGTAAGGTAGACCCCCATCAGCTATTGTAGGGTCTACCTTACAATATAAAGCGCCTTGAGGCGACTGTTGTTGTGATTTGGTGCTATATAAATAAAATTGGATTGAAGTCATCAAGTGAGCATTCATGCAACATATACACAAACACAGAAGAGGAGGCATGTTTAGAGTGAGGAGGAAAAGAAAGAGTCAAACTTCTCTGTTTGTCTCTGAAAAAGTTAAACTGACCACACAGGAAGAGTGAGAGGAGGACTCCTCGATTTCATTCAAAGCTTTATTCAGAAATGAATTTCATGCTTTTACAAATGAGCTGTGGGTAGAAGGAGAATCAGGTCAGAATGTTTTCCACTCTTGTTCTCTCTCTGATGTAGCACACAGCAGGAAGTAGTAGCTTCAGACACGTTGTTGCTACAGGAAATATTCTGTGTGGTTGAGGCGACGGAGCTGGACACTATGAAAGAGGGAGCTGGGAGGTTAAGCAGCAGCTCTGTGATGAGGTTGTGTTCTCACATGCAGCTCTGCCCTGTAAAGAAACTTTTTTCTGTACTGTGTACTTCTACCAGATGACTCTCAACAAGAAAACTGTGTTTTATTTGCTGCCTTTGTTAGGTCATAAAGACAAATCTCTTTACATATTTGTATGCAAAAAATTACATGCCCAGTAATATGTTCTGTTGCATTGCTGCGCTGCTGCTGCTGCTCGCCGTTGCAAGTTAAAGCAACAGAACAATGACTCCACCCTCAGGATCACATTTGTAACTGCAACAAACAGACACGAGGGCCAAGAATAAACATGGTGCTGGTTTTATTTACAGTGAGTGAATCATCATGTGTCTGTGATATCCTGAGATCCTGCCTGGTTGAGCCCTGATGTTTTCTCTATATCTTTTGCTTTCACATAGACTTCTACACTTAACACTTAGACACACTTAACAACAAAAACCAAACATTTCAACAAGAGTCTGTAAGCATCTGGGAACTGAGGAGACCAGCTGCTGCAATAAATGTTATTAACCTGTGCCCAGTTAACCTAGTTATTTACAAAATGTTGCTTCAGGCGATTCTTCTTAGTAGTTTTTGAACATTTTGCTGCCTCTCTCCTGACTTTTTTGTGTTGCTGCCATCAAATTCAAAATTAGCTAATATTTTTCTTCTTAAATTTAATGTTTTTTTGTAAATAAAATATGAATTTAATAATTATTTTATTTAATAACTCGTTAGGAGTTTATATAAACTCCTATAGAGGTTTGATAATTTGTATGTTTTTATTTGCATTGTACACAAAATTCCACCTGTTTTGGCAGTGGGGTTGTATTGAAGTCCCATTTATCTATCAACATTACAATGCACTGTAGGTTAGATATATAAACAGAAAATATCAGAAAATTATGAAGGACAAAAGACAAACAGCAGCCTCCCATCAGAGGACCAGTACCAGCCCTGGCCATTTCACCAGCGCTCTTAGAAATTTGAGCCCAGCATGTCTAATCTGTCCAAGATATCCTACAATAGTCACCTCGCAGGTGCCTGTGCTCGATGGCTGAGTAACTGCACAGCCAGCAGCAACTTGTCTATACTCTGGTTTCCCATCAGGCTCATGTCAAAGACCAGAGGTTTATCCACATTTTGCAACTAACCATAAAGAGCTGCTGGCTTCTAAGTTTTCTAAATCCATTGTTTTGACACAGAGACTTCAATTACATCAACATGCAGGACAGATTTCAAGCAGGGTTAAGCTTACTTCCAGAGAAAGTGGCCAGCTGCAATGCTGGTAATTTAAAAGATGGTGTAAACACCTAGAGAAGCTTTTG